ACTGTAAGAAATTTGGTGGATGCAATCAAAATCTATTTTTTTTTTTTTTTTTGGAAAATGTTAAATTTTTTTTATTCATTCCTATAACTTGTATTGACGCATGTGGTATGACAGATCTTTCTGGAGTATCTTGAGCATCAATACAAATCAAAACTCCAAAGCTATGTTTACATTTTTCAGCAATACTGTCTATCTTTCGGAAATCAACTACCCAGTAATCAATTTGTGACCCAATACGGATATTTCTCTCTCCTGTGGACCAACCGAAATATATATAGCTTGACAAATAATTTCAAATCATAGAATTAAGTCCCATCTTTCCCAATACAATTAAATTTTTGGTGTGCCCTATCATTTGACTACACTGCTAGAAATCTGGAAGATACGCAAGAAAAGTAAAACACACTTTATTTTTTTAGGGAAATTTAAAATATTGTTTCATTCAATTTTACGAATGGATATTTGCATTACAATCGAAAAACATTCTTTTGGGATACCTTTAAAGACAGCACACAAAAAAAACTCGAATATATGCTTTATTTTTAACATCGCTTACTTTTTTTAACATTATTACTTTATTTTTAACATCGCTTACCCAGTAAGTGGTTTGTGACACATTATGGATATTTCGTTGTCCTAGCATCCATATGTTATCGATATGTACAAATTTATACTTTCAAGTAATGGGCAGAAGACCCTTCTAATAGCTCATAACCAAACTGCAGCAGTGCACCGTCAAATGGCTACACTGTGAGACATTTTGTGAATGCGTAAAACAAATTAATTACATTTTATTTTTGTGCGAATTTTCAATAATGTTAAATATTTTGTTGCAAATAAGTATGAGCTTTTTTGGTATAATAAATTATTCTCCTACAGCTCTGGCACAAATATGCATCAGGACTCTAGAGGTTTTTTAATTTTCCCCTCATAATAATGTCAATATTAAATTATCACATACCCAGCTAAGAATTGTTGACCCCGAATTGACATTTTAGTGTGCTGTAGACTATATGTAACTGACAAAACCTAACTAATAGTTCGAAATCATGGGCTCGAGTCCCCTCTAACAAATTATAATCGAATCTTAAGTGTGTGCAAGAATTTGCCTACACCGTGAGAAATTTTGTCCATGCACAAGAAGAAAAAAATGTGTTCAATTTTTATTGGGATTTTTAAATAATATTTTCTTTCATTTAAGGTATTAATTTAGAGATTTTTAGGGCGTCATATTGTTTTTCGATACATTAAGGAGAATTGTGTATCAAAATTCCAGAGGTGTGCAATAGATTTCCCATCTCGCTCTATTTTTTTTACTGAGCACTTACCCATCAAAGAATTTATGACCCTTTTTATCCATATAGACTCCTAGGAAACCAAATGTGATTCAAATAGTCTTACTTATGTAACTAATTTATGGGTGCAAGACCCTTTTCTTCGATCACATTCAAATTATAAGTGTACATAGCCATTTTCCTACACCGTGAGAAATTATTTGCATGCGAAAGACAAATAAAATACCTTTTCTCATTCATATTATTTCAAACAGCATTTTCTTTCATTTTAGAAATTATTATGGTCAATTTTAGAGCGCTATATTGTTTTTTTTTTTTTTTGGATATTTTAAACAGCATATCCAAATAAATCCAAATTTCAGAATTGTGCAATAATTTTCATATATTGCTGTAGTTTTATATATAAAATTCATCCGGCAATGGAACTTTTATGTATTTTATACATATGGGTGCCCTGGAAAGCAAAATTGATTGATATGAACTAACTTATATGTCCACATCATAGGTTCAAGTCCCCTCTCGCAGACCATCTTCAAATTATATGTGTGCATAACCCTATATCTACACTGTGAGAAATTTTGTGTGTGCGCAAAAATTCAAAAAACTTTTTCTTATTGTTAGTATTTCAAATAATTTTTTCTTTGGTTTTACGAATTAAAATGAATATTTTTTGTAACTTTTTTTTGTTTTTTGATACCTTAAGCATCAAAATAAACACAAATTATTGAGGAGTACAACCGATTTCTCTTCCCTTCTCAGTATTTTCATTGACCACTTGGCCAGCAAAAAATCTGCCATCTTTTTTTATACTTTAAGGTGCAATGGGCATCAAATTTAAATGATATGGGCTAACTTAAAGATCAAGATCATATGTTCAAGTCCCTTCTCGCAGACCATTTTCAAATTATAGGTGTGCATAACCCTATACCTATACTGTGAAAAATGTTGTTAGTGCGCAAAAATTTCAAAAACTTTTTCTTATTAATAGTACATCAAATAATTTTATCTTTGATTTTACGAATAAAAATGAATATCAAAATAAATACAAAATACAGAGGTGTACAACAGATTTTTCTTCCCTTCTCAGTATTTTCATTGACCACTTACCCAGCAAAATATCTGCAATTTTTTTTATACATTTGGGTGCCATGGGCAACAAATTTAAATTATATGCGATAACTTAAAGATCAAGATCATTGGTTGAAGTCCCTTCTCGCAGACCATCTTCAACTTATAGGTGTGTATAACCATTTATCTACACTCTGAGAAATTTTTGTTAGTGCGCAAAAATTTAAAATATGTTTTCTCATTAATAGTATTTCAAATAATTTTTTCTTTGGTTTTACGAATTAAAATGAATATTTTTAGTGCGTTCTATTGTTTTTTGTTACCTTAAGCATCAAAATAAACACAAATTATAGAGGAGTACAACCGATTTCTCTTACCTTCTCAGTATTTTCATTGACCACTTTCCCAGCAAAATATCTGCCATCTTTTTTATACATTTGGGTGCCATGAGAAACAAATTTAAATGATATGGGCTAACTTTAAGATCAAGATCATAGGTTGAAGTCCCTTTTCTCCGACCATATTCAAATTATAGGTGTGCATAGCCGTTTGTCTACACTGTGAAAAATTTTGTTAGTGCGCAAATATTCAAAATACCTTTCCTTATTAATAGTATTTCAAATAATTTTTTCTTTGGTTTTACGAATTAAAATGAATATTTTTAGTGCGTTCTATGGTTTTTTGATACCTTAAGCATCAAAATAAATACAAAATACAGAGGTGTACAACCGATTTTTCTTCCCTTCTCAGTATTTTCATTGACCACTTACCCAGCAAAATATCTGCAATTTTTTTTATACATTTGGGTGCCATGGGCAACAAATTTAAATTATATGCGATAACTTAAAGATCAAGATCATTGGTTGAAGTCCCTTCTCGCAGACCATCTTCAACTTATAGGTGTGTATAACCATTTATCTACACTCTGAGAAATTTTTGTTAGTGCGCAAAAATTTAAAATATGTTTTCTCATTAATAGTATTTCAAATAATTTTTTCTTTGGTTTTACCAATTAAAATGAATATTTTTAGTGCATTCTATTGTTTTTTGATACCTTAAGCATCAAAATAAATACAAATTAGGGAGGAGTAAAACCGATTCCTCTTCCCTTCTCATTATTTTCATTGACCACTTACCCAGCAAAAAATCTGCCATCTTTTTCATACATTTGGGTGCCATGGGAAACAAATTTAAATGATATAGGCTAACATAAAGATCAAGATCATAGGTTGAAGTCCCTTCTCTCGGACCATCTTCAAATTATATGTGTGCATAACCCTATATCTACACTGTGAGAAATTTTGTTAGTGCGCAAATATTCAAAATACCTTTTCTTATTGATCGTATTTCAAATAATGGTTTCTTTCATTTAACGAATTAATAGGGAAATTACTAGAGCGCCATATTCTTTTTTGATATCGTAGGCATCAATATAAATCCAAATTCCAAAAGTTTACAATCGATTTATCTTTTCTCCGCAATATTTTTACTGGCCACTTACTCAGCCAAATATCTGTGACCCATTTTATGCATTTCGGTGCCATGGAAATCAGATTTGAATGATATGGGCTAACATAAAGATCAAGATCATAGGTTGAAGTCCCTTCTCTCCGACCACATTCAAATTATAGGTGTGCATAACCATTTGTGTACACTGTGAAAAATTTTGTAAATGCGCAAAAAAATGAAACATGTGTTATTGTCTGAAATAATTTTTACATTATTTTCTTTGATATTACGAATTAATATAAGAACCCTTGTCAACTTATATTGTTCCTGACTATCTTTAACAGCAATAAAAACCATAACTTCCGAGTCATGAGATCATTTTTATAAATAACTTTAATTTTTCCGATTGCTACTTGATCAGCAAACGTTTTATGGCCAAATTTGGACATTTTGGTGTCCTGAAGACCAAATGTAGCCGATATAGCTTAGTTAATACTTCTCTATCCTAGGTACAGGTCGCCCCTCGCAGGCTATAACTGAATTTTACATGTAAGCATCTACTTGTCTACACAGCGAGAAATTTTGTGAATGCGCAAAAAAGGTAAAATATTTATTATTAACAGTAGAAGTAAAATAAGAAGAAATTCCGCCATATTACGAATTGATATAGGAACCCTTTAGCGCAATATTGTTCCTGGATATAAATAGTTTTAATGTGCATAAAAATTCTAGGATTGCACTATCATTCTGATGTATTATCGCCACATTATCAGTAAACACTTATCCGACATGCAATTCATAATCACCTTTGGATCTCTGCAAGCCCAGAAACACACATAGAAATGATATGGCCTATATAATAATTTACGATAATAGGTTTGACTCTCCTCTCATGGGATATATAAGATTTGGATGAGTTTGCAATAATTTCGCTACACTGTGAGAAATTTTATAAATACGCAAAAGCACATTTTATTTTCGAAAAATAACAAATAATTATTTTTTATCGCATTACAGATTAAAATCGCTTATGTTTTATGTGCAATCGACTTTTTCAATACACTGTGAAGAAATTAACAATTTCTAATTTATAAATTTTATTAATACACCGTGAAAAAAATATCTATATTGAAATTAAAAAACCAAATTATCCCACAAAAAAGACGAAAAAAATAAATTTCCCTTATTTTAAGGTTTATCATTGAAAGATAACTCATCATAACGACTACTGCGCCTTATTTCCTCAGCCTCCGATGCCGAGTGCTCAAAATCGGTATGATCATCAATGTTGGAGGGAACAGAAACCCATTTTATGGTCGGGGATATGGAAACAATTGTTGCACGACGAATGGGACCGGAGACCACCGACGACGAAGATTGTGATGAAGACCAGGGGACGGGTCCTTGATTCTGCGAATGATAATAAGAATCTCCGGGCAAGGGTGCGGCCTCTTCTTCCTGATATTTTTGTGGTGGGTATTTTTGCGGTGGATATTTCTGATAACCATTATCCGATGAATGTTGTGAGGCCACATAGACGCCCTTGTAGGAGTTGTGATTTGATTGTGGATTAGGTTGATCATAAAAAGGATTACGGGGTGTGGAATATAGTGGTGGTGGCGATGTGGGAGGTGGAGAATGGTAGTCATTGTTTCCATTATCATAGCCGTGGTGATGGGTTGCATGTTCCATGGGGGAACCCATGTAAATTGGAGGTTGCTGCTGATATGGTGGTGGAGGTTCATGGTTCGAGGGTCGCCCTGGATTGCCATATTGAGGATTTTGTGAAACCGGACCAGGTGGGGGACCATAGCTTGGCCTTTGCTCATAGACATCTGGTTGATGTGGATCATAGAGTGGAGGTCGGGCATAGCTCACTTGAGGTTGTTCCATATTCTGTGGCTGATAATGCATCACCCCCGGTCCAGGTGGTGGTTGTTGATGTGGCTGAGAGGCCATCACATCCAATGGTTTGTTTGTCACTCCACTATAGGGTGATTGTAGATTTACATAGGGTTTCATTGCCTCCATAACTGTCGCCGAGTTCAAGGCTGCCGAGGCCAACATATCCGCGGGTTGCATTACCAAATTTGCTCCTCCCGTGGCCACCACTCCGGGTGAGACGGAATGTTGTTCTCTTGAGTTCATATCACCCATTTTGTTAAGACTACTGCGTCGTATATCGGTGGTCATAACCATGACGGTTGGATTCATGGAGTCCATGTGTTCTTTGATACAGCCCTGCAGCAGATTGACGAAAAAGAAAAAGGAAAGCAGAGTCAATGCGGTTATGGTTGAAGTACCACTTCTGCTCTTTTTACCACCACCGCCTTTCTTTTTTCCACCACCTCCTCCGCCTCCGTAATCATAACCAGTTCCACCTGTGAGCGGATGTACCGGAGGATGGGGATGCGGATGAGGATGTGGGGCCGGCGGTGGCACACCATAACCCGTGCCGGCAGTGGAATGATATGAATAACTGCCACCACTGGGGGCGGGAGGCCCCGAATGGTAGTCATATTCCGGGGGATCGTGACTGAAAATGGGAGAAGAGAAAAACTTCAAAATGAAAAATTCGAGAATAGAGAAAATCAAAAAACTCACCCATATCCCGAATGCCCTGGGCCACCACCACCACCGCCACCTGTCCATGCTCCATTCGGATGGGATCCCGATGAAATTAGCTGGCGAAAAGGATGTATCGATTGCAGACGTGGCCTGGAACCAAGACCTGGTGCATAGGCTGGATACATGAGGCTTTCATAAGCCATTTTCCAACAGAAAATTGAACTGAATGCTGTAACTCCTCAACTGCTACTGTTTTCGGTTTGGTTTTCCAGCCAAAGAAAAATGCATTTCTTTTATAATTATCCAAGCATAACGTTTACTGATGTGACAATGAATCTCACTGGAGCGTTGCGAAAATTGCTTAAAATGGGGCCAATGAAGAGCATAGTTTCAAGAACGAATGAAGAGAAATGAAACTAAGAGTGGGCTCCAGAGAATTTTTTTCTTCATTAAAAAACATGTTGGCTTTGTTTTTGAAATTTTGAATTTTGAGGGGGACAGGAATGGATTTTTTAATCTGAAAATGTCCTGAAATCTAAGCTGGGTTATTGAAAAATAACAAAACTTTAGTTTTCAGTCATATGGCTACAAGGTCATATGGCTACAAGGACAAAACGGAACGTGGATTTTTTAAAAAATATTTTTTCAAGGATTAAGAAAGGACATGGATATTTTAAAAATATGTTTTCAGGGAACAAGTAATATTTTGAAACAACTTTTGTTCAAGGACCAAAAATGAATGTGAATAGCTTAAAAGGAACGCGTATTTTAAAAAAAAATTGTTCAAGACCTTGGAAGCACTTGGATTTTTTTTTAAATAATGTTTCAAAAATCAGGAAAGAACGTGGATTTTTTAAAAATATTTTTTCAAGGTGGGTTTTTCAAAAATATTTTTAGGGTACCAAGATAGAGCGTGGATTTTTCAAAAATATTTTTTTTAGGGTACCAAGATAGAGCGTGGATTTTTTAAAAATATTTTTTAGGGTACCAAGATAGAGCGTGGATTTTTTAAAAATATTTTTCTGGGACCATGGAAGAACGTGGATTTTTTAAAAATATTTTTCTGGGACCATGGAAGAACGTGGATTTTTTAAAAATAATTTTTCAAGGACCTAGGAAGCGAGTGGATTTTTAAAAATATTTTTTTCAGATACCAAGATAGAGCGTGGATTTTTTAAAAATATTTTTTAGGGTACCAAGATAGAGCGTGGATTTTTTAAAAATATTTTTAGGGTACCAAGATAGAGCGTGGATTTTTTAAAAATATATTTTTTAGGGTACCAAGATAGAGCGTGGATTTTTTAAAAATATTTTTAGGGTACCAAGATAGAGCGTGGATTTTTTAAAAATATTTTTTTAGGGTACCAAGATAGAGAGGGAATTTTTTAAAAATATTTTTTTTTAGGGTACCAAGATAGAGCGTGGATTTTTTAAAAATAAATTTTAGGGTTAAAGATATAGCATGGATTTTTTAAAAATATTTTTAGGGTTAAAGATATAGCGTGGATTTTTTAAAAATATTTTTAGGGTACCAAGATAGAGCGTGGATTTTTTAAAAATATTTTTCTGGGACCATGGAATAACGTGGATTTTTTTAAAAATATTTTTTCAAGGACATTGTAAGCAAGTGGATTTTTAAAAATATTTTTTTTAGGTACCAATATAGAGGTTGGATTTTTTAAAAATATTTTTAGGGTACCAAGATAGAGGTTGGATTTTTTAAAAATATTTTTAGGGTACCAAGATAGAGCGTGGATTTTTTAAAAATATTTTTAGGGTACCAAGATAGAGCGTTGATTTTTTAAAAATATTTTTAGGGTACCAAGATAGAGCGTGGATTTTTTAAAAATAAATTTTAGGGTACCAAGATAGCGCGTGGATTTTTTTTTAAATATTTTTTAGGGTACCAAGATAGAGCGAGGATTTTTTAAAAATATTTTTCTGGGACCATGGAAGAACGTGGATTTTTTAAAAATATTTTTAGGGTATCAAGATAGAGCGTGGATTTTTTAAAAATATTTTTAGGGTACCAAGATAGAGCGTGGATTTTTTAAAAATATTTTTCTGGGACCATGGAAGAACGTGGATTTTTTTAAAAATATTTTTTCAAGGACATTGTAAGCAAGTGGATTTTTAAAAATATTTTTTTTAGGTATAAATATAGAGGTTGGATTTTTTAAAAATATTTTTAGGGTACCAAGATAGAGCGTGGATTTTTTAAAAATATTTTTAGGGTACCAAGATAGAGCGTGGATTTTTTAAAAATATTTTTAGGGTACCAAGATAGAGCGTTGATTTTTTAAAAATATTTTTAGGGTACCAAGATAGAGCGTGGATTTTTTAAAAATAAATTTTAGGGTACCAAGATAGCGCGTGGATTTTTTTTTAAATATTTTTTAGGGTACCAAGATAGAGCGAGGATTTTTTAAATATTTTTTAGGGTACCAAGATAGAGCGAGGATTTTTTAAAAATATTTTTCAGGGACCATGGAAGAACGTGGATTTTTTAAAAATATTTTTCTGGGACCATGGAAGAACGTGGATTTTTTTAAAATAATTTTTCAAGGACCTTGGAAGCGAGTGGATTTTTAAAAATATTTTTTTCAGATACCAAGATAGATCGTGGGTGTTTTAAAAATATTTTTAGGGTACCAAGATAGAGCGTGGATTTTTTAAAAATATTTTTTATGGTACCAAGATAGAGCGTGGATTTTTTAAAAATATTTTTTTCAGGTACCAAGATAGAGCGTGGATTTTTTAAAAATATTTTTTAGGGTACCAAGATAGAGCGTGGATTTTTTAAAAATATTTTTTAGGGTACCAAGATAGAGCGTGGATTTTTTAAAAATATTTTTTAGGGTACCAAGATAGAGCGTGGATTTTTTAAAAATATTTTTTAGGGTACCAAGATAGAGCGTGGATTTTTTAAAAATATTTTTAGGGTACCAAGATAGAGCGTGGATTTTTTAAAAATATTTTTTAGGGTACCAAGATAGAGCGTGGATTTTTTAAAAATATTTTTTAGGGTACCAAGATAGAGCGTGGATTTTTTTTTAAATATTTTTTAGGGTACCAAGATAGAGCGAGGATTTTTTAAAAATATTTTTCTGGGACCATGGAAGAACGTGGATTTTTTAAAAATATTTTTAGGGTATCAAGATAGAGCGTGGATTTTTTAAAAATATTTTTAGGGTACCAAGATAGAGCGTGGATTTTTTAAAAATATTTTTCTGGGACCATGGAAGAACGTGGATTTTTTTAAAAATAATTTTTCTGAGACCATGGAAGAACGTGGATTTTTTTAAAAATAATTTTTCTGGGACCATGGAAGAACGTGGATTTTTTTTAAAAATAATTTTTCTGGGACCATGGAAGAACGTGGATTTTTTTAAAAATAATTTTTCTGGGACCATGGAAGAACGTGTTTTTTTTTTAAAAATAATTTTTCTGGGACCATGGAAGAACGTGGATTTTTTTAAAAATAATTTTTCTGGGACCATGGATGAACGTGGATTTTTTTAAAAATAATTTTTCTGGGACCATGGAAGAACATGGATTTTTTTAAAAATAATTTTTCTCAGCTGTGGGAACGGGTCGTGGATTTTTAAAAAAAATATGTTTTCAAGGACCAAGGAAGAATGTTAATTTTATAATTTTGTTTTTCAAGGACCAAGGAAGAATGCTACTTTTATATTTTTTTCAAGAACCAAAAATTGACGTATATTTTTTAAAAATATTTTTTAAGGACCAAGAAAGAACTTGAGTTTTTAAATATTTTTTTAAGTATCAAGAAGGAACGCGAATTTTTTTTAAATATTTTTCGAGAACCAAGAAAGAACGTGGATTTTTTTAAAAGATTTTTTTAACAAAGTTTTTTCAATATATTTTTCAAAATAAATTTTTTTCTGATATTGGAATTTATTCAGGCTTAATTCCATTATTGTTGTTTTTTAAAAAAAACATTGGTTTTTTAGTGGAGAAAGATGGTAATGTTTATTTTTTTTCTCAATATTTTTTTTAGAAAAGTTAAAAAAAAAAACTTTTTTTTTGGAAAAAAGTAAACTTTTTAAACATATTTTCAAGGGCAAATAAAAAGCGTGAATGTGAGTCATTACTGGTAAAAAAGGGTGCATGTCATTTCAGTCACTTCTCCCACAATGCTCCTTGATCTACTTTTCCTTATTCGTTTGATTTTCTTCCATTTTTTTTTGTTCCACTTTCAGCAAATCTTAGGAGTGTCCCTACCTTCTACTTTCCTCAACTTATTTTATCAATCAAAATTTAAGCTGAATAAGCTGAAAAATTGAAAAAAAAATAAATTGAAAATAATTTCATATTATTAGAATGAATAGAAGCCACGGATGGATGACATGCAACGAAAACAAATTTTTGTAAAATGCAAATATATGGAATGCGTGCCAGCGATGGGTGAAGTTATGCCATGGCCAATTAGGACTAGCCCCTTTCAAATGTTTCGCACTTACAACCACAACTAATGATAGCAATTTCTTTTGTTGGCTAACCTAAAGCCAATGGCTTTTGGTGTTTTATAATCCCATTTAGCCTAAGCTTTTAAGCCATTCAAGCCAATGCAGTTTCCGCCAACTTTTAAGGAGTGTTAAAATTGCAGATTTTTAAAATTTCCAAAATTTCTTTATTATCCAAAACAACAACAACAACAAAAACAAAACCAATCATTCATTGTAATTATTCTTGTAGTCATATTGTATTAAAACTATGGCATTCGATATTGTTGAACCGAAAATGGAGAATACCATGGCCCGATTAAATTTGAACAGGCCCACCAATTTCATTTCAATGGGGAATTTGGCCAGCTGCAGGGAGAAGTTTTTGAACTGCAAAGAAAGAGAAAGATAGAGAGAGAGAAATTAGAAACTTTCAATTTTTAACAATACTATTTCAAGGAGCAACCGGAAATGCGGATTTTTTTTTTAAATATTTTTTCCAAACCCCAAAGAACCCATGGTTTTTAAAAATATTTCTATCAAAAAATATTTTTAATAAAAATATATCAAAAATATATTTTAGGAACAGAAAACAGTCAGGGATTTTTAAAAATATATATATTTTTTGGCTATTGGAAAGTCATGAATATCCAAATATATTTTCCCAATACTATCGAAAAATCGGAAATATTTTCGATAAAATATTTATCTTTGTTAAATATTTTCGATTTCGAAACATGTTTCAGGTCAAACTGAGAATTGGAAATTTTACAAACAGTTACAGCAATATTTGGTGCCTACTTTTAGGCAAACATTTTTGAAAAACTTTGATGCCTACTTTTAGGCTCTTTTATTAAAAAAGTAATATTTCAAGGACCAAGAAGAAAGAAGGGTTTTCTTAAAATATTTTTTTAAATATTTTTAACATAAAATCTGGGATATTATTATTATTATTATTATTATTATTATTATTATTATTATTATTATTATTATTATTATTATTATATTATTATTATTATTATTATTATTATTATTATTATTATTATTATTATTATTATTATTATTATTATTATTATTATTATTATTATTATTATTATTATTATTATTATTATTATTATTATTATTATTATTATTATTATTATTATTATTTTATTATTATTATTATTATTATTATTATTATTATTATTATTATTATTATTATTATTATTATTATTATTATTATTATTATTATTATTATTATTATTATTATTATTATTATTATTATTATTATTATTATTATTATTATTATTATTATTATTATTATTATTTTATTATTATTATTATTATTTTATTATTATTATTATTATTATTATTATCATTATTATTATTATTATTATCATTATTATTATTATTATTATTATTATTATTATTATTATTATTATTATTATTATTATTATTATTATTATTATTATTTTATTTATTTATTTTTTTTTTTTTTTTTTTTTTTGAAACAAAAGCCTTTCAGGTATTTTAAAAAAAAATCTGTGGCTATCGCAGAGTCATGGGGAATGAGAATTGGGAATTTTACAAACAGTTGCAGCAATATTATGGTGCCTACTTTTAGGCAAAACATTTTTAAAAAACATTGATGCCTATTTTTTGGCTCTTTCATTAAAAAAAGTAATATTTTTTTTATTTTTAAAAAAAGTAATATATTAAGAACCAAGAAGCGCGGATTTTATTAAAATATTTTTTAAATGTTTTTAACAAAAAATCTGGGATTTTATTATTATTATTATTATTATTATTATTATTATTATTATTATTATTATTATTATTATTATTATTATTATTATTATTATTATTATTATTATTATTATTATTATTATTATTATTATTATTATTATTATTATTATTATTATTATTATTATTATTATTATTATTATTATTATTATTATTATTATTATTATTATTATTATTATTTTATTTTTTTTTTTTTTGAAACAAAAGCCTTTCAGGTATTTTAAAAAAAAAAATCTGTCGCAGAGTCATGAATATCCAAAAATATTTTCTCAATACTATCGGAAAACCGGGAATCTTTAAAAACATGTTTCAGGACACACGAAGAATGTATTTTACAAACAATTATAACAATATTATGGTTCCCACTTTTAGGCAGAAAAATGTTTAAAAAACGGTGCCTACTTTTAGGCTAATTAAAAAAAAAACTTACACTCTCCTCCAAACTTTTGTCCAATCTCAGGCACATTAATTTACCATCCCGCAACAACTGACCCGTCTCTCTGGCCAAATCTACCGGCCTCAATAGGCCAAATCGAAATATTAACAAATCCGCATAAATCACGCCAAAAGTAAAGGGTACAAATAAGGCGGCCCATTGATTCCACTGGATCATAACATACATTTTCCCCAGCAAAAGATACCAAATAAACACAAAGACCATATTATTTAAATAAATTGTTATCAACAGGCATACACCTTGAATGTCATACATGGCATTTATGCGGTGCACCAGCTGCTCCAACCGATACTGGGACGATGCCAGTTCATTCAATAACTTGGCCAATTTTTCACTTTGTCTTATGAAAATTCCATGCTTTATCAAATTTCTATTGCGGCAATGGCTCAACATTTGTGATTTCAATAAAATCTCCCGGAGTTCTTCTCTGATTACCATTTGCATGACACTCACATTACTGATGGTGTTATAGTAATGGGTCATGATTACACTTAAAATAATCGCCAATGAATCAATTACACCAATCCAAAACTGCGACCATTGAATGTTCGGGTGGCCCACGGCACTACTTTCCATTGAAATACAGAAATTCGCTATGAGGCCCACAACAAATTTCAGCACAATAGCCCGGTCAAAATAATGCTCCACACGGTCACTGAGGGGCCACATTTTTCGGAATTCGCTACGCATATCCTGCAAATAATTTAGGGTTCTCATAAACTCCTGCCGTTTGGTCCAATTCAAGAATATTGTCAGCAGGATGGCCACCATCCGGATACAGCAGACAATGATACGAACTTTGAGGGGGAAATGCAGTTTCAAAAAATTTCCCGGACTCAAATGGAGTTGGGTAAAAATCAGCGGTAATATACCGCACATGGCTACATTTATTATACCACAATAAATACTCAAGATGCGTGAGGTATAGACTTTGCCTGTTTTCAGGTCATAACCGAACGACAGGATACCCAGGAGTAGGGAGAAGTAGTAACAAATGGCCAATATCCAGCGAGATGGACGTTTCATTGAGACTTGCAGAATACTACTGACCAACAAATGAAAGGTTTTCATACCTAGCAATTAATTTACGACTTAAAAACTAATCGATTTATTTGATTAGATAAAATCAAATTTCAATAATTGAATTTTTAATTATTGTTGTTTTTGCTGTTACAAATCCTCAAAACAAAACCACGTAAAAGAAATTGCAATAATTAGACACTGAAACAGAGAATCTGATTCAATAAAAACATTGAGTAGATGATATTTTCCCACAGAAAAATTCATCGATTATCGATGATTTTTTCCTATAGAAAAATTTCATCGATTATCGATAATTTTTTCCTATAGAAAAATTTCATCGATTATCGATGATTTTTTCCTATAGAAAAATTTCATCGATTATCGATGATTTTTTCCTATAGAAAAATTTCATCGATTATCGATGATTTTTTCCTATAGAAAAATTTCATCGATTATCGATGATTTTTTCCCTATAGAAAAATTCATCGATAGTCGATGGATTTTTTCCCTATAGAAAAATTCATCGATAGTCGATGGATTTTTTCCCTATAGAAAAATTCATCGATAGTCGATGGATTTTTTCCCTATAGAAAAATTCATCGATAGTCGATGGATTTTTTCCCTATAGAAAAATTCATCGATAGTCGATGGATTTTTTCCCTATAGAGAAATTCATCGATAGTCGATGGATTTTTTCCCTATAGAAAAATTCATCGATAGTCGATGGATTTTTTCCCTATAGAGAAATTCATCGATAGTCGATAGATTTTTTTCCTATAGAAAAATTCATCGATAGTCGAAGGATTTTTTCCCTATAGAAAAATGTCATCGATTATCGATGAATTTTTTCCTATAGAAAAATGTCATCGATTATCGATGAATTTTTTCCTATAGAAAAATGTCATTGATTATCGATGAATTTTTTCCTATAGAAAAATTCATTGATTATCGATGATTTTTTCCTATAGAAAAATTCATCGATTATCGATAATTTTTTCCTATAGAAAAATTCATCATCGATTATCGATGATTTTTTCCTATAGAAAAATTCATCATCGATTATCGATTATTTTTTTCTCTAGAAAAATGCATCGATTATCGATGTTTTTTTTCCTATAGGAAAATGCATCGATTATCGATGTTTTTTTCCTATAGAAAAATGCATCGATTATCGATGTTTTTTCCTATAGAAAAATGCATCGATTATCGATGTTTTTTCCTATAGAAAAATGCATCGATTATCGATGATTTTTTTCTATAGAAAAATTAATTTTTTCCTAGAGAAAAATTCATCGATTATCGATGATATTTTCTCCGTATAGCAGAAAAATTCATCGATTATCGATGATTTTTTCTATAGGCAAAAATTAATTTATCTATAGAAAAAAATCATCGATTATCGATGCATTTTTTCCCTATAGAAAAATGTCATCGATTATCGATGATTTTTTCTTATAGAAAAATGCATCGATTATCGATGATTTTTTTTCTATAGAAATATGCATCGATTATCGATGATTTTTTTCTATAGAAAAATTAATTTTTTCCTATAGAAAAATTCATCAATTATCGATGAATTTTCTCCTATAGAAAAATTCATCAATTATCGATGAATTTTCTCCTATAGAAAAATTCATCAATTATCGATGAATTTTCTCCTATAGAAAAATTCATCGATTATCGATGATTTTTTCCTATAGAAAAATTCATCGACAATCGACGATTTTTCCCATAGAAAAATTCATCGATAATCGATGATTTTTTCCCATAGAAAAATTCATCGATAATCGATGATTTTTTGCTATAGAAAAATTCATCGATAATCGATGATTTTTTGCTATAGAAAAGTTCATCGATTATCGATGATTTTTTGCTGTAGAAAAATTCATCGATTATCGATGATTTTTTCCCTTTAGAAAAATCCATCGATAATCGATGATTTTTTCCCTATAGAAAAATTCATCTATAATCGATGATTTTTTCCCTATAGAAAAATTCATCATCGATTATCGATGATTTTTTCCTATAGAAAAATTCATCATCTATTATCGATGATTTTTTCCTATAGAAAAATTCATCGATTATCGATGTTTTTTTTTTCCTATAGAAACAATTATCGATGATTTTA